CTTGCCCCTTCACTTCTCCGCTAAGACAAGTCCGAGCGCGCCTTGGGCCCGGTGGCTACTGTCGGCGTTCTGGGAACGGGGGTCCCCAGACTTGCCTGCCTGCGGCCTGCGGCGTGGCTCGAGTGGTGGCCCAGTACGGCCCATCTTCATCAGCGCAAGACTGAATACCCTCGCGAGGGGCCAAGCCTCGCGGGGCGGACGACACATGACTTCCTCAGGAATGACGTCGCCAGGCAGGCTCGTGAGGAGGCGGAGAGATCAAGGCAGGGCACCTCGCGAGGTGCTCATGACGCAAGCCGTGACGATCAAGACCAGGCGGGTGCCAGGCGGGCACCAAGCAGGCGCCAGGCGGGCGCTGGCCTTTGCAGTGTCCTTGTTTCCTCTTTGGTGCAAAGGGGGCAAGCGCAGGCGTGGAGTACCAAGGCATCAGGCAAAGGTTGCCATTTCAGTGCAACGAGACCAAGACCAGCAGAGCGGCAGGATGGAGGTCACCGTGGAGTCCAAGACGGCGTCACCGCCAGTGCCTTTGGCAGCCGAAGACCAACTTTAGTCAGAATAACTTGTACTAGATGTTCCCCTTCAAAATGGCCGTTGTTGGCGCCCTTCCTGCTCAATATTTGGAAGAGGACCAGGGCCTCTATAAATAGGACTAGCCACCACAAAGGTGAGAGAAGGGACTCATCGAGTGCTCATTAGACCGAGAGGCGATCAAACCCACCCAAGCAGTTCATCGCACCAGCTCAAGAACACCTCTCGAGAGGTTGTTCTTCCCTTGTACTGTTCATCATCAGGCCCAGAGGCAATCCACCACACCACACACTGGAGTAGGGTATTACACCACAACAGTGGCCCGAACCAGTATAAATCTTGCGTCCCTTGTGTTATTGATCATTTAGCTTAGATTCTCACGAGGCGATCGAACGTGGATCGGTAGGGGGAAGATCTTTGCGTGCACCCCAGAGTTCGAACCTTAAGGGTCTGCCGGAACCCAACATCCGACAGTTTTCTCTTACTTTCCCAATAATATTTCATACGGAACTACTTCCTCTAATGCTCCATGTACTTTTTGTAAACTATCTAGCCAATGGTTAGACTAATAAAATGAAAATCAATATACATCTATAGATTATTCATACAACCATGAAATTTGGACATAAGGTAATTATTCATGGCATGTAAAAAAGATTCACGGGAAAAATTTACACATAGATAATCCCAATCATGTAGGGCATCTCATGTTATCTTATCGCGGAGCGCAGAGAGAAATCATGCCACATCGTTGCTGCTACGAACCCATACTCTAGGGATGGACTACTCATACCTCATGAGGGGCTACAGAGAAGCATTCTTGATGAACATGGCGATGAATTCCCCCTTCAATGGGGCATGAGAGAAGAACTATAGTAGACTCTGCCCTGGATCACTAATATATTTCTCTGTGGTGATGGAAAGAAAGTCACCAAATAGTGTCATGTTGAGGACCAATATATAGGATTGACAAAGAAAAGAGGGCACCGGCGGATCACTCCCTTATTGCTCCCTATGATATGGACGCGTGGGGCGGGTGTGTGGAGCCCATAGGTGGCCCTTGACCCCCCTAACATATGTTGATAATTTGGCATTTTATCTTCACATGATTTTTTCTTATTTTTCCGAGTTTGCAAAGTATTCTAAAAACACAAACATAAAACAACAGTTTTTCCTTATAGTTAATAATTGGTACATTGTCCAATAATAAATGTTAAGCAATACATACAAATTAAAAGAAATTGGCATGAAACTTCAAAAGTCATAGATACGCTTAGAGCATATCACGTAGTTATGGGGAAGCCAAGCCTTGCCCTTATCAAAGGTGAACCCAAGTTCTTTATTGGCAACTTCTCTCTTTGCATACTCATTAGCTCCTTAACAATATTCTAAATTTCAATGCAAGACACTATCCCTATCTCAAGTTGAGCTTTGTCACAAGTAGTGTTTGTAGCACAAGTAGCAAAATCAATAAAATAGACGAGTTATGGCTAACTAGGAGTTTCAAATGTGCAACTTGAATTTCCTAATGTAACTTGGTGAGTCTAAAGAGATCACGCGTGGTGAGATTGTAGCCGTTAACAAGGTACTCAAAATCTCCACTAAGTTTTGCATGTGCAGCATAAATCAATAATTGTGAAGCTTCTTTTTTTCACCTCTAGAGACATTTCATGATAGACTCTTCTCTTTTAGGAGTTATTTTTGTCAAGAATTCTATTTATTTCTCTCTTCATGAAGATTATGCACGAGGTGCTTCACATTATCTTTTTCTCCTCAATGTTTAGGGTCTTCGCCTCATCTGCGTACCTATCACGTTTCACTAGAGAGGACATGAGATCTTGTAACCTCTCAAGCACCTCACCGCGAACATGTTTCAAGGAGTTAAAAGTTAAGATATGTTTTTCAACGACCTCAATATCACGATGTCCATCCACGTTAACATTACACAATAGTTTCGGTAATTGCCTTTGGCTCCTAGATGCATATGCACCCATTGTCGAAATACACATTTCAAAAAATTTTAAAAATGAAAGAAAAATCTCGCATGTATATCCATACATTTTATGTGCATGCACAAGGTTTCGGTGAAAAATGACGTCTTTTGTGGCTTGTGTAAAAAAGACAATTTCTGATGCTTCATTCTAACTATTTACGAGGCATTTCTTTATCTTTTTTACACAAGCCACCAAAAACGTCGTTTTTCATTGAAACCTTGTGCACGCACATAAAATGTCCGGATATACACGCGGGATTTTTGTTCCGAATTTTTCAACTTTTCGAAATATGTATTTCGATAATGGGTGCATATGCACCTAGGAGCCAAAACACTGTTTGTGTCCCACAAGCTAAACAAACTTGACGCACATGTGTCACTTCATTAGTTGTTCCTCCTCTATGCCTTTTCTCTCTGGGGCCTAACCGTTACATAATGATCCACAAGTAAACAAACCACCCCACATATATATAACTAATTGCTTGAATTTCCAAATACATTGTTTTATTCGTTACTATAACATATAATTGATGAGTATGAGAGCTACAAATCTCAATGGCAATTGTTTTGTTAAATCTAAGTTACCTTAGATTTTGTTTAAGTCAAAGTTGACGTCCTAAGTCATCGTATAACTCCATGTGAAGTTTTGTGGTTGACACACCAACAACAGAAATCAAGATTAGATCATATGGTTGACACCATTGATACGGGAAAATCTTCAGTGACTCACAAAAAAAGAGAGAAAATCTTCAATGGCTCGCAAATAAAGAGAAAATCTCGAGTGACTCACAAAAGAAAGAGAGAAAATCTTCAATGACTCACAAAAAAATCTTCATATGACTTAGTAGGGACTACGGGGCCCAATCCGCAGTAGCAACAAAATCAATAAAACTAGATGAGTTATGGATGACTAGGAGGTTCAAATGTGTGACTTGAAGTTCCTCATGTAACTTGGTGAGTCTAAAGAGGTCACACGTGGCGAGATTGTAGCCATTAACAAGGTACTCAAACTACCCACTAAGTTTTGCATGTGCGGCTTCAGTCAGTTATTGCAAAGCTTCTTTTCTTTTGCCACCTCTAGAGATTTTTCATACGGAACTCTTTTCTTGTAGGAGATCTTTTGACAAGAATTATATTTTAGCTCTATCGTGATGATTATGCTCGAGGTGCTTCACATTCTCTTTTTGTCAAGGGTCTTCGCCATCTGCGTACCTGTCACATCCCACTAAGTGAGGACATGAGATCTTGTAACCTCTCAAGCGCCTCACTGCGAAGAGGTTTCGTGGATTTAACAACTAAGATCTCTTTTTCAAGGACCTCATTATGAGTATGTCCATCTGTGTTAACATCGCATAATATTGGTGTGTCCCACAAGCTAAACAAACTTGACGCAGGTTTGTCACTTCATTAGCTTTTCCTCCTCTATGCCTTCTCTCTCGGGGGCATAATCGTTACATAATGATGCGCAGGTAAACAAACCACCCCACATATACATTAGTAATTGGTTGAATTTCCAAAAAGACAGTTTTATTCGTTACCATGACATATAATTGATGAGTATGGGAGACACAAATCTCAACGAAAATTGTTTTGTTAAATCTACGTTGCCTTAGATTTTGTTTAAGTCTAAGTCGGCGTCCTAAGCCATGTGGAGTTTTATAGGGTGCACACTGACAACAGAAATCAAGTATCAATGGTGTCAACCATATGATCTAGTCTCACATCAATGGTGTCAACTATATGATCTAATCTTGATTTCTGTTGTGAGTGTGTACTCCATAAAACTCAAGTCACTGAAGATTTTCTCGTATCAAAGGGGACTGGGAAAAAAGACCCACGGAAACCGCCCGCTCCGCTTCCCTCGGCGTCCATAAAAACCTGGCAAAGCCTCCTGCCCGGCGCCGAAGTACAAAACCCACTACCCCTGGCAGGCAGCCTGGTTCTCCCCTCGCTCTCGCTCGGGTCATCCGTCCATCCATCCACCTCCTCTTCCTCACTCACTCACACGAGCAGACCAGACCAGCACCAACTCCCTTTCTGCCTTTCTCTTTCACTGCTCACCATTTCCCGTCGCTCTCCTCCCTCCTTCGCCTCATCCTCTGCCGCGGCTAGCCTAGCTGCGCGCACCTTTGCAGAAAGAGAGAAAAGAAAGGCACCCCGCCCGAACCCAGCCCGACGCCACCACCAAAAACGCACAAAAGCAGAGGGACATCAGATCAGGTCGGCCGATCGAGCGCGCGACGACGAACCCCTGCCAGTGCTCCCTCCCGGCCAGGCGCTCGCAAAGTGCGGGAGTCGCTGCCTTCTCGATCTCCTCTCCCGCTTCCTGTCCTCCATCCCTCCCTCTCTCTCCCCCTTACTCTCTCCAGGGCGTCTAGCTAGCTAACCGAGCTACGTCGCGCGGCCTCCGAGGCTGGGCGAGCTGAGCTGAGCTGAGCTTACGTACGTACGCGCGCACGTACACGGCCGCGCCGCCGCCATGTCATCGGCCGCTGGCGGGTACGGGGGCGGCGCCGAGCACCAGCATCAGCATCAGCATCAGCAGCACCACCAGCACCAGCTGCTGCTGGGCCAGGCCGCGGCGGGCCAGCTCTACCACGTGCCGCAGCACAGCCGCCGCGAGAAGCTGCGGTTCCCGCCGGACCCGGCGGACTCCTCCTCGCCCACGCCGGGCGCCTGGCCGCCGCCCACGGTGCCCTTCTACTCCTACGCGTCCTCCTCCTCCTCCTACTCGCCGCACAGCCCCACGCTGGCGCACGCCCACAACCAGCTCCTGGTCCACGGGATGCCGGCAGGAGCCCAGATCCCGAGCCAGAACTTCGCGCTCTCGCTGTCCTCGTCCTCCTCGAACCCTCCGCCTCAGCAGCGGAGGCACCTCGCCGGTGCCACCGGGCCGTACGGGCCCTTCACGGGCTACGCAGCCGTGCTCGGGCGCTCTAGGTTCCTGGGCCCCGCGCAGAAGCTGCTGGAGGAGATCTGCGACGTCGGCGGCCGGCCCTCGCAGCTGGACCGCTGCTCCGACGACGGGTTGCTCGACTTGGATGCCATGGACGCCGCGGGCGACGTCGGCCACGAGATGGACAGCAGCGACCGCGCTGCCGCTGAGGGCGTCACGGTCTCCGGCGCCGAGCAACAGTGGAGGAAGACTAGGCTCATCTCCCTCATGGAAGAAGTGAGTTATCAATCATATGTTACCTCTAAATTCCCTTCTCTTCATGCATCTTTCTCTTCCGTTCCCATGTCATAATTATTTTCTTCTTCGTGGAGAAGAATCTGACCAACATCTCATGGTCACATCACGGATGCAGCTTGTGAATCTTTATTCACTGTGGTTCCACAGCTTATTTCTTGTGCTTTCGATTTGATGGTGGTTGATATGTATGGATCATGATATCTTCTCTTTTGGATATATTTCTTTGCTTATTATATGCCTCACTTATTTTTGCACTGTTTGCGTTGAACAGTTATTTTCTTTTGGTCTTCTTGTAAAACTAGCAGCAACTTGATCTAGAGTCGATGATCAAAGAGTTGCACACAGTAGTAGTTGATGAACATGAAATTAGAACAGCGAATTCCACAGTATGCTCTAATTTTATTTCATAAAAAAAATTCAAGTTGCTGCTTTCTAAGATTCCTAGAGTTTGTCCTCTTTCAGCATGGTTCTATACTCATCGATGTAAAGCTGTAAGATTCTGCTGTCCATGTAGTCCCAGCTTCTTGTTTTTTCTTCATAAAAGCATAGTACACACTGGTTTAATTTAGCTCAGGAAAGTTGTTTCCCTTCATGTAATCATAGCTAGGTCAATAATTTTGAAGTGACATATGATCTGGTAGTGTGTACACATCTACACACGATAATCCGTTTCTTTCAAACAACTCATCTGTACAACTTCTTACCAAGATTGCAGGTGTTTATTGGTTGCAACAACTAAGGCAGTCCCACTTATTATCTCTGTTCTAACACAAGCAAAACAATCTTGTAGGTTTGCAAGCGATACAGGCAATACTACCAGCAGCTCCAAGCTGTGATCTCCTCGTTTGAAACCGTCGCCGGGCTGAGCAACGCCGCCCCCTTTGCCTCCATCGCTCTCCGGACGATGTCGAAGCATTTCAAGTACCTAAAGAGCACCATACAGAGCCAGCTGCGCAACACCAGCAAGGTGGCCGCCGGGAAAGACAGCCTCGGCAAGGAAGACATGGCCAACTTCGGGCTCATGGGCGGCAGCGCCGCCCTCATGAGGGGAGGCAACGCGAACGCGTTCAGCCAGCCCCACAACATTTGGCGGCCACAGAGGGGACTCCCAGAGCGCGCAGTGTCGGTTCTTCGCGCCTGGCTGTTCGAGCACTTCTTGCATCCGTGAGTACATGGCATATCCTCCATCATATTTGATTTCGTGTTCATAATATGGAGGTGCACTATGCAATTTTTGAAATATACTCCCTCTGATTCCATAATACTTTCCGTTGAACTAAACCACGACAAGTATTATGGAACGGAGGGAGTACTTACGACAGTATCTTACCTGTACCTGCAGCTGGCAAATGCGAATGTTTATATCCATAGTAGGGTAGCAGTGACATGACATGCCATTATGATATGCTGCAAGTGCAACTAACAAACGATTCCTTCTAGTGTGAGCATCATGCATAGATCCGAGACATGGGATAAATGCCTGAGATAGTGTGCAAGCACAAGCAAACCTATGGCTTGAAACCGTTTGCTTTACTGAAAGCTTATAAATCTTATTTTCGTGGGCATCCACTGTCCACTGAAAATTGCGGATTAGCTCGCCACTGTTTTAGTGCATGCAATCTAGTAACAGGAGAAAAGGAATTTGTGGAAGTGGGGGAGAAATAAATCCTTCCGTAGCACTAGATCTGTGTCGACTGTTGATTCGGTACCGTATGATAAGAAGAACGTTCAACTATCATTAAATGCATGTCTTTTGGGGTTCTAGCATGGGTCCCACTTGACAATTAGTTTCTGACGCGCTCTCTTTGCATCTAACTTAGGCTAGGCACCAGATCTTACAACGATGTCACCACATCTGCCGCTTTTGTTAGTGCCGGTCAATTCTTGCAGATTTGATGCTTTGATGGAGACTGCTTTGCAAATAACATAGACATGTCAAATATGGTGCATCCATGCTTATCAGCTTTCTGTATTTTGTTACTACTTACTGCTAGCAATATAATTATGTACTCCCTCCGTTTCTAAATATAAGACTTTTTAGAGATTTCAATACAAACTACATATGGATGTATATAGACTTATTAGAGTGTAAATTCACTCATTTTACTCCGTATGTAGTCCGTATTTGAAATCTCTAAAATGTCTAATATTTAGGAACGGAGGGAGTACTATTGTAAAAGTTGTCCTTTCACATTTGTTTTATTCCTTATACACTAGTATTTGGTAGTGTATATGGACTTCTATACCTGTGTTCATCAAACGCCGGTTTGCGTGAGATACTGAGTTTAAATGTGGTTTATCTTAACCTTCTTAACTGGACGAGGCATTGTTGTAGAGGGCTAAACTTTTGTCATAAGATCCTAAATGACCATAACACATAATGACATGCTAGGTTTTAGGTCTAAATGGCGTAATATGACTTAAAACAATGTTCAGTTTTTTTTTGGTTGAAGCTTCTAGCCTGTAATTATTTACAGTGCTTGTGCTTGTTTGTGTTGCTGTCTACCCATTGTATGTTTCTGTATTTGCCATCACACTAATTTGTTGTGCTTTCCAGGTACCCAACTGATAGCGACAAGCAAATGTTGGCTAAACAAACAGGCTTAACGAGGAATCAGGCAAGTAACCATTTCATGTGTCGTGTGTTTCTACTTTAATGTAACTCTTCATGCCATGCTGGCTGCTAGGCAAGGCCTGTTAGCACCATGAATATACTAGTACTTCTATAAAATAAAGAAAGTTATAGACTTTGGAAAAATGGCCTGCCTGATGATCTCGAAACATTTCATGGTGGGCAGGTCTCAAACTGGTTCATCAACGCAAGGGTTAGACTCTGGAAGCCAATGGTGGAAGAAATCCACAACCTGGAGATGCGGCAGGGGCATAAGAGCTCGGCCGCCGACAAGAATCAGCTCGGCGTGCAGCAGCAAACCCAGCAGCATTCGCCGGACAGCAGCGGGAGGCCCTCCGATCCTTCGAACTCACACCAAGGGCAAAGCAGCAGCATGTCACAGAACCGCAGCGCCCACGCTGCACATCGGCACATCCAGAGCGAGCTCTCCCCGATGACCCACGACATGCCGGGACAGGTGAGCTTCGCGTACAACGGCAGCGGGATGGCCGCGCACCACCAGCACCACCACGGCATTGCACTGTCGCATCCCCATCAGCAGGTCGAAGGCGCGAGCGGCGCCGGGAGCAGCGGCGGCGTCTCCCTCACCCTCGGCCTCCACCAGAACAACCGGGCCTACATCGCCGAGCCCCTCCCGGCGGCGCTCCCGCTCAACCTCGCGCACCGGTTCGGGCTGGAGGACGTCAGCGACGCCTACGCGATGGCGGCCTCGTTCGGAGGCCAGGACCGGCACTTCACCAAGGAAATGGGCGGCCATCTGCTCCATGACTTCGTTGGGTGATCGATGAACAAACACATGCATGATTGCTCCATTGCTGGGATCATCAGCATGCAACAACATGCAGATGAGATCTTGTATGCTGGCCACGTGTATTGTACTAGAAGTAGGATGATGAAGGTAACAAGGGTGCATTGGTACACCGTACATATGCTTCTCGTGTAGACCCTGGAATGCTGTCAATATTTGACAGAGTGGGGCTACATAGAGAGCATGCAGTGCAGAGAGAAGTACTACCTTTAAAAGGCCTGTTGTAGCATGCAGTTCTTCCCTATTTGTTCTGATCCTAGATTAAGCTCCCTTATTAACCCTGTATCTCCATTGATCGACTTGCGTATGCGAGTGCTCCCACCGTGGCAAATAAAGGGTGCTCCATTTATGAATTTATCTTTATTAGCTAGGCTGCAAATTTTATCTATCATCACAGTAATCTAAAGATTCTACTCTACAGCATGCAGCTAGTGAGTGCCGAAGCTTCAATGTGTATTGTAGCACTAGAATATGACTGTGGACTGGACAGATAGATAGCCTTATCTTCTCTGATCTTGTGTAGTTAGCCTTTCGCATGTACCCGTATTAAACTAAGAAATCAGGTGGCGGAGTGTTAACGAGCGATCTTGTTGCATCCTTAGATGGAGTAGCCTCCTAAAGCCTGGACAAGACATGATCTGCTAAACTTTCACTGGCATCCTTCCTCTGTTAACCACCCTAACAACATCTGTCAAGGGCTGATCCGCGCCTACTGTAGGCCATCTCCGCTCCTTGATCGATGCACTAAACAACTCGCCGTTTACTGGCCATGGGGGAGGCGCCATGATGAAGAAGGGTTCTTTTTTACCTCTCCCCAGGGTGAAAGAAAAGGCCCATGTTACCTGGGATCGGTTCTCCACGGCCCTCGGTTCCGCAGCATCTGATTTGACGTACGCTTTGGTGACTGGTGAGTGAGTACTGCCACTCCAGTATGAACAGCTGGGGGGCTCCATGGAGCTGCTTCTTTTTTTCGTGGAGGGGATCCATGCACGTCACTGACCACCTGCTCTACTACTACTTCTCGCCCAAAAGTAACCACTTCTCTTGGTTAAAAAGGGCACTGTTTGTTGCGGGAGTGCTGATAAACTTTCTTTTCTAGCTATAGGCTCTGCATGCATTGCATTGCATTGCCCTGGTGCAGCATGCATGGGTATATTATTGGTCTCTGATTCTGCATGCCTACTGAAGAAATATCATGCGCTGCCTTCTGCCACCACCATGGCCATGGAATCCATGGATGGAGATAAAGCTGGTGGTAGGAAAAGACTGGTAGGAGGGCCAGTATGGGTTATCATTGCCACTCATGGAAGGGGAACTGGAGTTTAACTCGCAGCTCCATCCTTTATGTTTGAGAGAGGAAACAAAGGCGTGCCGCCTGCATCTGCATGCGAAGAAGTATATTCCTCTTTTCTCCTTTTTTGTTCTTGATTGAGGTGAAAGAGAACCAGACGTGGGTGCAACTCAATTGTCAAATCCAATTCACGTATTACGTACTACCTCACGTCAACACCCCCGGCTTGAGCTCTAAGCATCTTGGGCACAGGCGCGGATCATACGTTACAGGGGAAGGTGATGGGACACCGGGCGTGCTGCTCTTAGGTGCTTTCTTCCTGAATTTTGTTGTCAATTTTGCTTTGTCAGCAAACTGACGGCTTATATTTGCATCCCATCATATGTATATCTTTTCAACTAGGTTATAAGAACGCTCTTCAAACAGTTTCATTTTTAATTTTGGTGAATTGTAGGGTCTCTTTGATACAAAAAATTACAAAAATGCAGAAACAGGAAAAACATGGACTGAAATATCATGCACAACTGAAGAAGTTGCATGGCTTGTCATGTTGGTCCTCCAAATTTCCCAAATAAAGTCGTTAAGAATTTAAACGTCTCTTACTGCAAGGTGAACCCCAATGATTCAACTGAAGACATCATTGGCAAGAAGGCCAAAAGGGAGGGAAGGCAGCTGCAAAAAAGGGAAACTGCACTGGAGCCGGGAGTTGTGAGCTTCAATGCAAGGATATGTGTGCTAGTGAAAATGTTGGCATTTATGATAGCTTTTGGAAGAAAAAAAAGTGTCCTCCCTTGCTCTTATCACCTTGTAATAAGATGGAATCTGAATTAACTCGGTTGATGTATGATTCTGAGTTGAACTTCAAGTCTTTTGATGTCTCTGAATTTATATTCATGAAAAAGTTTCAGTCTGCTTGATCCTTGTTTCCTAATGGACAGAACTTGGAACATCCCAAACTAGAATATAAAGGAATTAACTCCAGTAATAAGTGGCTTGCTCTTTCTAACAAGACAGAGGAGTATGACTTTTCCATTATCTGCTTACGGGAAACTAAGAAAGAACATTTTGACAGTGCAAACTTAAAGAACTTTTGCCCAAGAAGATTGTGCCTTACGTGCGAGCTTCTTGGGGTTTATTGTCATCTGGAATGATAGTATATATCGAGGACAAACTCTATTCCAAAATGAATTCCCTATTTCCATCCAATTTTCCTCTGCGTGTTCTGGAGCAAGCTGGGTTCTAGCTTCCCCTTTACGCGCAAACTCTATTCCAAATTGTAAAGGGGAAGCTAGAACCAGATGAGATTGTAAAGGGGAAGCTAGAACCAATTTCATCAACTGGTTCAAAGATATAGATACCAGATGACACTGACTGGTCATTGTGGGTAACTTCAGTTATATTAGATACCTCACAGTAGGAATATTGGCAATAGTAATACTAACAATATGGTACAATTCAATGAGGCCGTAAATAACTTAGCTCTTGTGGAACTCCCCCTTAAAGGCAGGAATTTTATTTGGCGGAATGTGCAAGAAGCTCCTTTTTTCGAAAGACTAGGTTAGTTTTTTTACCTCGAAAAGTTGGACAACTAATTACCCAAGTGCTATTACTCTGCCTCTTCCAAGACCTATATCTAATCATACCCCTGCTTTATTCAAATTGGTACTTCTATTCCCAAATTCACTCTTTTTAGATTTGAGAACTATTGGTTGTAGCAGCATGACTTCAAAAATATGGTTCAAAATATATGGGATCAAGATGTTCTAGAAGTTGATAATGCCAAGATCATCATAGCAAACTAGATTTCAAAAAAGCGTTTGATCTGATTGAGCATAATGTCATCCTTGAGATTTTGCAAGCTAGAGGCTATGGCCCTATATGGATGATGAAAATGATTTTCTCCTCTGGTACTTCTTCAGTGTTGCTAAATGACGTACTTAGCAAAATCTTGCACTTCAAAAGAGGTGTTAGGCAAGGGGAACCTCTTTCTCCTGTGCTTTTGGTTTTAGTTTCTGATCTGTTGTAATCCATCTTTAATGAAGCTCAAACCCACCAACTAATTCAATCTCCAATTCAAGTGAACTCTTATCAATATGCTATTGATACAATCTTGGTCTTGCCTGCTGAGGAAGGTAAGTTAAACCATTGCAAAAATCTCATTCTCCACATTGCAGATCAGAATGGGCTTAAGGTTAACTATCACAAATCTGCAATGGTGCCTATTAATGTTTCCCTTAATAGAATGTTGAGAATGGTGGCTGTTCTAAGATGCTAGCAAGGATTCTTCCCGTTCACTGATACGTCTCCAATGTATCTATAATTTATGAAGTATTCATACCATGTTTACAATAGTTTTATCTGATTTTGGTATGATTTGATTAGAACTAACCTGGACTGACGATGTTTTCAGCAGAACTACTGTGGTTTTGTTTTTGTGTAGAAACAAAAGTTCTTGAAATGCGCTGAAAATCAACGGAGATTTTTTCTTGAAAATATAAAAAATACTGGAACTAAAAGTTACAGGAGGGGAGTCCCATGGGCCCCACAAGGTTGGAGGGCGCGCCCACCCCCTAGGGGACGCCCTTGTGCCTCATGGACTTCCTGTGGGGCCCCCTGACTTGTTCTCGACGCCAATCTCTCCTATAAATCTCCAAACCTCCAGAAAATAACCCAGATCGGAAGTTCCGCCGCCGCAAGCCTCTGTAGCCACGAGAAATCAATCTAGGCTCTCTCTGGCACCGTGTCGGAGGGGGCCATCATCACTGGAGGCCATGGAGGACGATCCCGGAGGGGCCATCATCGCCATGGAGGCCAAGGTCCATAGGGAGAACCTCTCCCCATCCAGGGGAAGGCCATGGAGGAGGAAGCACAAGGGGGAGAATCTCTCCTGCTCTCTCTCGGTGGCGCCGGAGTGCCATCGGGAGGGGAATCATCGCTGCAGTGATCGTCTTCATCAACATCACCATCATCATCATCATCCTCATCTCTTTTACGCGGTCCACTCTCCCGCACCCCACTGTAATCCCTACTTGAACATGGTGCTTTATGCCACATATTATGATCCAATGATGTGTTGCCATCCTATGATGTTTTGAGTAGATATCCTTTGTCTTTGGGTTCATTGATGATCTAGATTAGTATGAGTTGTATGTTTTATTTTGGTGCTGTCCTATTATGCCATCCGTGCCGCGCAAGCGTGAGGGATTCCCGCTGTAGGGTGTTGCAATACGTTCATGATTCACTTATAGTGGGTTGCTTGAGTGACAGAAGCATAAACCCGAGTAAGGGGGTTGTTGCGTATGGAAAAAAGGGGACTTGATACGTTAATGCTATGGTTGGGTTTTGCCTTAATGATCTTTAGTAGTTGCGGATGCTTGCTAGAGTTCCAATCATAAGTGCATATGATCCAAGAAGAGAAATTACGTTAGCTTATGCCTCTCCCTCATATGAAATTGCAATAGTGATTACCGGTCTTGTTAACAATTGTCTAGGATAATTCCGCACACCGACCCATCATTATTACACACTCGCTATTTATAATACTTAAATAATATATTCTAACTTTATGATAACAGCACCTGCTTTTATATTTTATCTCTCTGATATCATGCAAAGTTATCCTCTTCATACCCACAACGTAGTTTTATTTCTCGTTTCTAGTTGGAAGCAAACGTTCGATGTA